AAAAACGTTTTCACCCTAACTGGGTCAGACTTTCAAACCAGGTCAGGTATCGACAGAAATGGGAATGGGCAGGGAATGGATGGGAAAGGGAAGCAGCCGCTTCAGCTGCAGCAGTGGGCGGCTCATTCAGCCTGGCACCGATGGCGCGTCAGTCGTGGCAATGGATTTACCGGCGTTATCGAAGAGAGCTAGAGACTTAGTAATATGTTTGGGATGACCCTTTCTTTATACTATCTAAAACCCTTCCAGGCCATGGAGATTGGTCTGGCGTTTGGATCTTAGATTTTTCTATATAAGGGTGGTGCAAGTCCCACACTTCTTTTTCGATCACCTCAAGGTGAGATGGAACTTCGAGGGATTGAAGACCCTGAAGTGGTTTGGCTGAGATCTCAAATCATGATAGCCAGAGGCAAGTTATTCGGCATCGAGGAGGGATAGACTTGATCTTAATGGCCACACACATTTCCTGCTAGAGAATTTGCTAGTCTCATCCCACAGTCTGCAGGAGTTGGAAATTTCAGGAATGGTCTTGGCTGATGAGACTGAGAACAAGCTGGAATCGCTGGAAGAGCAGAAGCGAGAACGTCTAGCCCCAGAGATCACCCCACCTCGGGAATTGGAGAATGAAGCCCCTGACACTCTTCCACTGGATATAGATCTCTTCCCCCAAGATCTTGAACCAGTCCCAAACTCACCGCCCAAGAAACTGCGGAGGATGAGCGCCACATTTTTCTCTGAAGATGTTTAGAGTATGGATTCAAATTAATAATTCAAATTAGTGCCAGTCTGGCTTCAGACTGGTAATTCACAGCCAAGTCAAAGCCCATACAGATTGGACTACCAATTTGCTCCGTGGACCAAAGTAAACAGAGCGGTTCAAACTGTGACTGATGCTTTAAACAATGCTGCAACCAACTGTGAAACAACGGCTGCGTTGGAACATGTTTTTCATCGCAGGTGTTTTGGGCAGGAAAGTTAGGTCTTCAGTCTTCAACGGTTGGGTCTGACATAGATTCGATGTCCTCTTTGCCTCCGGTCGAACAGCTGAGCGATTCAGAGTCCTTGCCTCAATCTCATTGAACATCATCGTGCCAGTACGGCCGGCGATGCATGGGCCTCCCAGGTCAGAGACTGGAGAACCAACGTTTTCTCAAGCTTCCGCACCAAACTTAGAGAGCCCAAGGTTGTAAGTGTGCGGTGATTATTAGTCAGGTATCTTCTTCAAGTGCCATTGTGACCAGATTTATCAAAAAGAACATCAAGAAAGATTTCCAGGTGGGTATATCTGTTTTTTCATGTTGTAACATTTTGTATATTAGATGCAGTACAAGGGTGTGCCACCAAACAGTCATCTTGTGTTGCGAGGGCACGGTACCACGAATGGCGACGCTAGTGACGACATCTACCAAAGCTACCTGCTTGGAGATGATGGAGATGCAGGCTTCAAAACAGTGACATGTTGGCTTTCAAACTTTGTGATTTTGCAGGCCAAGCTCCCGGTCTGCCAAAAATTATCTCTGGTGGTGGTTTGCAACTCAGTCTTCTTTCTGTTCTTTCTTTTGCTTTATCCTTGAGTTCTTGGATGCAGGTGTCTGAGAACAAAGCGAACTCGAAGATCTGCAAGGACAAGGCCGACAAAACAAAGTCGGGCCTGTTCTATGGCAAGCGAGTATTCAAAAGCTGGCCGGCACTGAGCCCGCTCCTCAATTTTCTTTCCACTCTGAAGTTGGAAGCAGTTTGGGTGTTCTGCAAGGATGCTACGGGGCGACCAGCCGGGTAACACAGTCTGCTGTTACCAACAGAGGCATTGCTGCGTGGGGCTAAGACCAGGCTGATTCAAGTTTCTTGGTGGCTCCAACTCTCACACATGGCTGAGGACCTCGCCAACATCATTCGTTTCTCGCAGGATTACAAAGAATCCATCGGCCCAAAGGAAACACCTGGCAGTTTTCTTTCGGCTGAAGTCTGCGAATATCTTTCCGGTTCGGCCCCCAACAAGATCGGTTTGAGTGTCATGTGGTGGCCCTCGTCCCCTTGCAGGCCTCCCAAGGGGATGGACGTCGACAAAGCCCAACGCAGTGTGCAAAGACATGTTCGAGAAGCAGTTTCCAAACCTCCACCACAAGGAGTCACAGGAAATTGTTGGTGAGTACTTTCTCATAAGTGCCCACAGTTTGGCAGGAGAACAAGGTTCCTGTGCTGAGCCTTTTTACCGGTGTTGGAGGGCTAGAACTGGGACTGGGCGAGCGCATGGCTCAGGCAACATAAGACTCGATCATGTTTTTGTTGTGATACTCTTTGTTCTCAGGATCATTTACCCAGTCATGATGGCCACGTCCCTGGAACTTGAAGCAAGAACTGCTTGCAAACTGCTTGCATCACATGTTGATTGCAAAAGTGTTCCATTTTGGGTCTGAGGTGGAGTGCAATGAGTACTGCCGAAAGGTTCTGTTGCAACGCCAAGCAGAGAACCTTCTTCCAGCATGCAAAGTTCACAATGACGTATGCACACTGAAAGGACCAGATGTGCAGAATAGTGGAGCTGAGGGTGTTGGCGGAGGCTTCCCCTGCCAGGCTGGCCCGAGAGTTGGGGTTCTGGGTTGTCTCATGTTTTTACGGGGAAGTGAAGTCTTCAGTTCAATTCAGTTCATTTGCGCGGGACGTGTGTAACCCGCGGGCTTGTTGCTCAAGATCCCACTTGTTTTGCTAGGAACTGTTGTCTCCTCCCAATAGAAGACAAGAATGGCTGTCGGGAAAGCCTCGTCCGACAAGATTCCAGAGCGCAGCTGCAAGCGTAAGTCCTACTTCCTCCCAGGATTTAGCGACTTCCGGAAGTCTGTCCTTGCAGAACTATGCACTGAATTTTTGGTGCCCACCGCCGGCATGAGGAAAGAGCAAATGGTAGAGGCTTTGTTTGACGTGGACAACGCTGCCACTTTCGGGTACCAAAGCCAGTGGACACCTTTGGACAGTGAGCAGCTCTTGGTTCTTTGTGTGAAGGCGCGTGTGAGGTTTCACCGTGGACGCCTGGGTCATTCTGAGTGTGATGTTCCAAGCTTTGCAGGATTGGGCAATGACCTAACCTTTTTAAAACATGATCATGGGTGCCAGCGTGCCAGCAGCAGCACCAGCACCGGTGCAGTGCAGCCAAGCTTTACAGTGAATGTCGCAGTGCACCCACAATAAATTGGAAGTCTTTGAACAATTCGTAATTGGTTGGACCCGTGATGCCCTCTGAACAAAAAAAGAAGACGCTTCTATACCGGAACTTACCAATGGGACAGGTGCGCCGCATGTTTCTCTCAATAGTCTCCTGCCACTCTTCGTGCCAGGGGGTTAGCAATGCAGGCTACGGCAAAGGACTTATGGATGTTCGGTCCAACTTGATTGTCCACACATTCCGCTTGTTTGATGAGCTGGGCGATCCTGCGTCACGTCCTCGGGGTAAAGGAACAATACAATCCTCCAAAGTTGGGACTAGCTGAGGAAACTCTTATATTTGGAAAATGTTGGCGCTATCCTAGAGAGCAAGCAGCGGGAACTTTTTCACTTCATTTGCAAGGACTGTCATAGTTCCTTCAACCAACCCTAGCTGCCCGAGCTCACCCTCCAGGAGTGTCTATCTCGAAACCTCGAACTCAAGTGGGCCTCCTTGAAGCTGAGCAACGTCGGTCTCGCAGTCTGCCTGGCAAGCTTGGGTTTGGACTTGCAACACCTTGAATGTTTGCTAGCTTCAATACAGCTTAAGCCTGTTGTCGGGAAAAGAACCATCAATCCAATGTTTCCCACTTCCAAGATCCAGATTGAATGACACGTTACCGCCAGTGTCACCGCGAGCGAGTGTTCTTCATTGCGACCA